TCTTCAAGCTCTTGGTTATTCCTTACAGAGGTGGCTGTTAACACTCACCGGTTTCTTAGCCCCATTTACTTTTGCTGCATTAGCCCCATGATAGCTGAGGAGGGGAACAGTGGCATTTTAGCTAGAAACATCTCCTGGCTGCAACTGTAACACCAAATACTATTTTGAAATAGAAGAGTTAAGAATAGTGTGTCATGTGCTCTCCTGTCACATACTCCTTTCCCTAAGAAAAGGGATCATGTGTGAAATTTGTCTCTGAATGCCTGAGCAATTCCTCTCTTGGATTGCCTGGCCATTTAAGCACCAAGTGCTGCCTTAACCACTAAGTGTGAAAAGAGTAATAGACCACAGACAACATAGGAAGAAAAACATGCAATACAGACTAGGGCTTATATAGAGTTCAGTGGGAGTTGTGTACCTGCACTGAGTTTCAGAGTCAAATAAGTATCATTTATAATCACCAATTCAGAAAAGTACCAGGAGGGGAACTGGTAAACTTTCTTCAGATACAGAGGGAATTATGGAGAAAGATAAAAATTGCAGTAAGACTGGTAAAGACATCATGATAATCCAAGGCAAGAGAAACAAACAGTAAAACATAAGGATAATCAGGTTAATAAATCACTGAAATTTGAAAATGCAAGAATGAAGAAAATTATTAGCTGGACCGTTATTGTAAATTAAGGCTCTATGGGTAGCAAACGTGAGGGAAATAATTATTTTAAAGCTGACTGAAGCTCTTTCAAGAGCTCAAAATAATTATGTGATGACGCTGTCAAAGCCTGTCTGAGTTTTCGGAAATGAAAAAGAAATCACTTGTGATCTCTTCTGGCCACTAGTCTGGCAAATACATGTAATACAAAGGGAGCAAGATTATTTTTTTTCTGAGGTTTGCACACAAACTCGCTTGCAGTAGCAGCAGGCAAAGCCAAGAGTAGAAAACTGGCCAAGGAATGAGACTGTTTGGTTCTGCAGCACGGCTGGTGTGAAACAAAAGCTGTTACCAACTGAGAGGCAGTGATAGAAAACCTTGAATTTTCAAAAGCCACAAGGTACGTAGGGACACTTTGAAAATAATGTATTTTGCAAGCAGAGGTTCTTCAAAGGTGTTTTTTTGTTTGAGTTTTGTTTTTACAAACAAATGTCTATTGGACTAGTGCTGAACCTCTTCCAAGTGTGATTTTTTTTCCCCCTTGTAAAATGCCATTCTTGCGTGTGACCAGTGAACTGTGATTTAACCTGGAAATTTAAAATGTTTCTACTGCCTGTACTTTAAATACATTATTGTTTCCGAAACTTTCCAATGAAAATACTGCGCTGAGTACAAACCACATCAGTGTACTTGATGTCATTATTCAGTCTACTTGACACCAGAGCACTTAGCTTCTGTGAGCTGGAACATATTAGAGAAAAACACATTCCATTAATTACGCTTTTTTAACTTGTAACACTGAACCCTTTATAAATGTGTGTGTGTGTGTATTCTGGTTGTAAAATTGCTTTGTTTTGCATCTATTTTAGATTATATTTCAGTTCCATTGTGTGATTAAGTTAGAGGAGCATTGGTTTTTGTTTTTGCAATGACAGTTAAGAAAATACTTGCAGTATTGCCAGCTTGTTTGTATATGCAATCAGAATTTCTTTGGTGTGAAGAATGCACACACAGTCCTGTGGTTTGCAGCATAGTAAATGCATCCATCAGGCAGTTTTCTTGTAACTCCGTTTTGGTGAGTATTGTGTTTAAATTATTTTTTTTCTATTTCACCTTTCTCCTGAAACAATACTCTGCTCTCCTCTCTCTTCCTTCCTTTTGCACCAACATATGCCACTGAAGCTAAGCAAATTCAACTTAATGTGCTCACATTCAATGCCAGGGAAGTCCCTCTGTCTTCAGGAAGGGTGAGAGTCCAACAAATGGCAAAACTCATTGAGCCCCTTGCTCAGGCAGATTTTCCCCATCTTTCTTCTCCATGTTTCTATCTGTCTAATCCCATGTCTTCATTTTTGCTCAGATGAGCAGCACAATTATTGCAAGTAATAGAAATAGAAAGCCATTTAGATAAGGGAAAGCATGAGAAATGGCCTTCTGATTTAGCCCAAGGGTCTAACTCTGAAAGGAGCAACAGGAGATGTCAGTCAGGATGATCACTTGAGCCAGGCCACGTTCCATAGTGCACTCAGACACTGCCTTAGTGTCTGACTGGCCTTGCTACTGCCTCAGTCTCTTGGATTATTCACTCGTGGACTTTAACCAGGTCTGAGTACGAGCTTTAATTCAAATGCAGGCTTGTTGATTGCTTTGGATGGACTTTGAAGACTAGTGACCATTTCAGAGGAAATAAAATGGGTTAAAAAAAAAAAAAGTTTGTCGTCAGACAAAAATAAATTCTAGAATGTCACAGAATCAAACCTGTCACTGAAGAATTAAAGCAGGCTGCAAGTTACCAGGAATTATCATCTTAAAAATGAGAGAAAAAAGCTACTTTTTGAAATGTTACAGATGGGGGGGAAAAAAAAAGTATTGGCATAGATCAGAAATAGTGCTGATAGATTTTTTTAAAGGACTAAATTTTTGCTACAGCCAGGATATATGCTTAATCCCTGTCCATCTGTCTTTGGTATTGGTTTCTCTTTGAGCTGAGACTGTTCTTGTGCTTGTTCTAGTCTGTCAGCTACCAGTGGAATCCAGAAGCGGGTGTGTCAGCCTCTAGTTAGTGAAACATGTTGTTACGCTTAAAATCCTTTTTATGGGCAAAGAGGAAGCACACCTTGTATGTAAGTAAAGCCAAGAATTTACTGTTTGATGCAGGTTCAGCTCTGCTTTTCTGTGACTGTTACTGAGTTGTTTACAGCAGGGGGGTCTCCAGTGCCAAGTCCATGTCCTGTTCACCTAGCTGTGCTCCTGCAAACCGCATCCTGGGTGTCAGCTTCTCAAGGCCTCCGCTACCGTGCCAGACCTGTAGTGCTCTTGTGTTGCATCACTGTGTTACTGCGTTCTTTGTCCTTTTAAACCTAGAAGTTAGGTCAAAGTATATTGACTTTTTTTTTTTTTAATGTTTTATGCAGTGAATGATGGAAAACAGGGTAATGGCAAGGATAGCTATGCATTGAAAATGGTTCTTTCTCAAAGACCTCTGGTAAAAGATCTAGTCTCCCCAGGCAAACAAACATCTATCAGGTTTAGCTGATTCTGCTTTGAACTAGATAATCTCTTAATGTCCTTGGCAGCCCTATTTTTTCTATTATTAGTTTGTTTTTTTCTTATCTTAAAAAAATGCATTGTATATTCTGAAAAAGGAAAACCTTTCTTATCTCCTTTGTCTGCTTGATGCACTGTGTATGATGTATTGATGCATATTTCCAGAATGGCTGCAACCTGGGTTAGGTTTTGCAAAGCTTAAAAGCTGCCTTGTTTTTTTCCAGTCTGCATTTTTGTGTTTTTTTTTTTTTATCATGTCATCATTTATTATATGTGAACAATTACTTATTTCACAATAATTCTTAAAACGATCACACAGAAACTGAAGTTCATGATAAATGGACTGCTATTTCATTCTGAATTTGCATAATTGCATACTTACAGATTATTTCTTTTTTCCGACTGAGAAAGCCATTCCTGGAATCTCCAGCTTTTTCGGGCATGGGGTTGGGGGGAAGCTGGTGGGAGGGAGGAATATAATTAGTAACTTCTCCTTTGCATCTTTTCTTCTCCAGTCACATCCAGCTTGTCATGGTCCAGACTTCACTTGGCATCTCTTTAATATCAATGGACACAGCCCTCTAATTCATCATTACCTCCAGAGCCACAATGCTGAACCACGCTCTGGACAGGACATCTTGATACGCAGAAGAGAGATCTCTAAGCCTATACCATATCCTTCATGATTAATTCAAGATAAATTAGTGGTGCAAAATCTTTATTTTTAATGCAGGATTACCTGCAACAGCTGAGTATTTTGTCTGGGCCTTGCCTAAAGATCTGCAGACTTGGAGAGGGACTTCACACAACCCCGCAGTGCGATCCCTCTTCCTTCCATGTAGGTCCATTTTAACCATGTAAACCTCTTATTACTCCAGTCTGGTCTGTGAAGCTTGACTGATTTCACTTTGTTATTCCCATCCTGGGACCCATTGTACATAAACAGCTTTTTCAGTTCATTTTAGTTCTGACCAAAGAGAAGGAAAACACGGGTGAGATTTCCTTCATGCAAAACTTACAGTGTCAACTCCAACATATGCAGACCTTATCCAAGAGAGTTTCAGGCGTATTCACGCAATGAATGCTGCATTCAAAGAAATATACCAGAGGCACTGCAGAGAAATTAAGGATTTCGACCAGAGGCAGCAGAAAGAGCAGCAAGAATTTCTTAGGTACAAAAAGACTGTATGGCCTCTTCCTACAGTGTTCTGATAATGTGTATTCAGTTCTGCTATCCTTCCCTCTTGCTAGAGGTAGAACCTGTTAGCTAACACCAACATTTAGAAGAGCTTTCAGATGTGGTCAAAGAGGAGATGTAATGTATGTAGTTTGTTAGACACAATATAAATATCTCGGGGTATATCATAGCAGTATGGCCTTTTCCTGAGACTGACTTAAATGGAATCTGCTTATTACTCCCTAAGGGAGTCAAATCAGCAGATTTTGGTTGGGAAGTGATTAATTTTGACAAGGTCACTGCAGGAGGAGCTGAAGTGAGATGTTAAATACGATGCTATCTAGATTTGAAAATTTGCGTAATTTGGGGTAAAAATTAGCTAACATAACTTCCAAGCAGTGTAGTACTCTTATTCTATATATTAGTCTGATTGCTTTAGGAGATGTAAAAGAAACTTTGTGCTTGTTTATATTTGGATTGCTTTTGAAATATTTAATATTCCTTTTTTTTTGTCTCTTCCCTTCTTTCTCTTCTCACCATGCATTTTCAAATTTACAGGAAGAAAAAGAAATTACTGCAAGAAAGCAGAAAGCTGAAGAATCTGAAATAATTGCCTTCACTCAAAAGTATTCTGCAATTCTGAGATGATTTCAGGTGTGTCAGAAAAAAACATTTTTTGTCTGGAGCCAGCTTTAGATGAAATGTTATACTGTGGAAACCAGAAGACATCGTACCTCCAAAATAGATTTTAATGGGATGTTCTCCAGTGGCCAACCATCAGATTCTTCTGTTCTGATTAGGCAAGTGCCAACTTGGAAAGTCCGGAGAATAAAGCAGCTAATGTATTTGATTCTAGTCCCTTTGATCCATATAAACCTAAATTCCCCTCCCACCCCCCTTCAATCATGATTTCCCTATTATAAGAATGGATTAAAATGCCTTTTGAGGATGAAAATATGAGCTGGATATTTCATATTTTTATAGCAAGTGTTGTCCTTGGGTCTTACCTGAATTGAGGCAGTCTCCGATGAAAGGAGATGCGGCTCAGCGTGATGGATCTCACTGCCAGCATCTCCACGACAGCTGGAAGTGCACAGAGCACCAGCAGAACCTTTGAGAGAGAAGGGGTAAACCAGGGATGCCTTGACACTTGGTGTTATTTTGTAATATGATGTAGTATATGCACTTATTATGTAACATCTTTTGGAAGCCTAATGATTAGTTACTGGTCACACAATATTTTGAAGATGCACCTTTCAAATAAGCACTCCAAGATCGGATATTATCTTTAATTCTACACATTCATTGACCCTCTAAGAACTATTTTATGAAGTCAAAGAATAATTGATGGAGGATTGTTTACGTAGTTATTAGTTGTTGCAGGGTGATAAAGCTATACCAGAGTGCTTACTCTGTGCATAGGCACTCTGGAATAAAAGCATCCTTTGGGAGGGATTCATATTTAGTGTGACAGTGTCTACCTAAGAGCTGTTTGGGAATAGCGCTTGCAGAATAATGTAGTTTTCAAAAGCTCTGCCAGCCTGTTCCTCTATATAGACAAAGACACCCCAAAGTAATATTTAGGCACTCACATAAATAGCTTTATTGTGCACATGAGGATTATGCTTAGGGGTTGTAGGGTTTTCGTTTGTTCTCTGATTTGACAAGTACTAAAGATACCTACATATATTGTTAATTCCCAAGGGCAGAACCAGGGGAACTTTTCAAAAGTATCTTGAAACACACTGAGATTTTGCTGCAGTCACTTCTGTCTTTTGAAAGTCCACCATAAATAAGGCCCAAAATGCTGGCATACAGACAATTCTTGTGAGCACAGAACACCTTAGCATACTGTTTATATGCAATCACCTATCAACTATGTTACCAAAGGTGGACTCAAACAGATAAATTTCTTTTCAAATATTACATCCAAGAGATGAGAGGGCAGAGCTCTAGCTTTTATATTCCAAAACACACTTATCCATCCCTATAAAATGTCAGCTTAAGTTATGCGAATGACTCACGGTGATTTTTTTGTTTTCCCTCTCCTGTGACTTTAGGCAAGTCACTTCTCTGCCAGCTTTCAGAAATTGATATTATCTGACAGTTTTTGGCCATCCAATCTGAAAATATCTTGTTCCTTCTTTAGAAAGATGTGTATATACTGCCCTAGGAAAAATAAGAGTGAACTGTGTTACGCTGAATGCCTGCAAACCAAAGCCACTTTGGACTTTATAATTAATTCTTCATCGACTGCAAAATAACAGTAATGCAACACACTTCACAGTTGGTAAATACAACAGCTGATAAATTTTAGAAGATGAACTGATCAAAGATCAGCCAGAGCCCACAGGGAATAACATGGATTTGCGGCGCTCCCCGCGGCTGCGGCTCCTGAGGGCAGGGGCCCGAGGCCGCACCTCAGCCACCGAAAAAAAAATCCCCCCGGAGCGGAACGTCCGCGCGCCCGGTGCCACAGGAGGAGACTGCAGCTGTGGGGAACCCTCCTCGCCGGCGCTGTAAGCGCTCGGGGCCCTGCACTATGGGAGGTGGCCCTGGGCGAGCGGTGCTTTCCTTGTCCCTGTAATGGCGAGGATTTTCCGTGTCGAGATGCGCTGTGGTGCTCGTCCCCTCTTGGAGCATGAATTTGCTTCCCCCAAAATGGCATCAGGAAAAGCCAAACAGGGTGTTGATACGTGATTAATTGTTTGTTTTCCTCCAAAATCGATGCACCAAAATGCCACCACAGCGCACCTCAGGGGCGCTCCCGAGGTGGAGGGAACGGGCGGGTACTGCCACTACAGCACAGGAGGCCCAGACTCACCCCCAGGGACCTTGGCAGCAGCGTTTCTGTCAGCTCAGAGGCAGTTTGTTAACTCCGAGCCTGCGTTTGGGCCAAGTCCCTGTCACAGCAACAGCATGTGTATGTGTCCGAAGGGGTGCCGCAAGCAGCTCTTGCTCGTACATGCTAACAAATGGCTCCTGGGGAGGCTGCAGCCGCGCCAGGGCCACTGAGGAGACAGAGATGTCTCTGCTTCTCCATGAAGAAACTCACTTCTTGTATTGGCTGTGTTGTCTCAGCATTTCGGCTTTTTTTACCTGGCCCTTTGCAGTCAGCAGTGCTTGGAGGCATCTAGATCCTCAGTGTGCAGAGACACTAGTAACAGCAAAACTGTCCACAAAACAGGCCTGTTTTGTTCATTCTTAAAGCTTTTCGTGGAATATGGTATAATTTATCCGTTTCCCACCCCTTCCTGCCCCCAACCACCCGGAAGCAACAGGTTTGGGTCTGTCTAGTTTTTCTACTGTGAGATGCCAATTGCCTAAGGATGGGGAGTGGGAGAACGGGCCTGTTTAGCTGAGTGCAGGGTTATAACACATTTCAGGAGGGCTTTTAAATGGGGAAGGGAGCTGCAGTGTAATTGTAATGCCTTTTGTGTTGCTTGCTTTTCTCCCTTAAGTATCTGAAGCTAAGGGATTGTTAAAATCACACCAGCATGTGTTTTTATGCTCATTAACATTTTAAAGCAATCATTTTTTTCCCCGCTCATACAAGGTGTGATACGAAGACATGATTTTTCATTTCCTAATTGTCAAGGTTCTGAAAAAAAGTACATCCTGACAACTAACAGAAACAAATTATTTTATAGGAGTATTTTCATGAAAGACTAAAAGGAGGGATCCTGTTGTATTTTCACTGTGGAAACCAAATAAGGTTATTTTGAAATTATAGCTTTCTCTCAGTCTTCCACTCTTGTGTCTACACAACTTCTTTGCAAGCAGGTTACACCAGCTTTAAGTATCCATTTGAAAACTGAGCAAAGGTATTTGCAAATACTTATTCTACATTACTCATGTCCTCTTAGACATCCTGTAGTTTCAAAATAAACCAGTCTTACATATTTTCCATAGACTTCTACTAACAAGGATGAGCAAGCAAACACACATATAAATCTAGATGAGCTAATTCACAAAACTTCTATTAAGTCATAGCTAGAAGAGTGAAGGTAAGCTCACAATTAAGACTGAAGCAACTAGTCTACAAAACTGATACAGCAGGTGATAAAATCATATTTATAAGGAACTTAGTGGTTTTTTTTTTTTTTTTTTTTGCTTTTGTGAAAGCTAAGGAGGTGATATTGCGCTTTCTATCTGGCCATGCCAGCAGTAAGAACCTATGCTGATTCTAGGCCTTGCTTAGAAACAGTGACACAAAGAGGGCAGTGAAGCTGTATTGGAGAATTGACCTGGCAAGGTAACCATAAAAAAACATGAAATAAGTTCTCTGTATGTGTATTTTTGCATAATACTTCTCCTCTCCTGCCCCAATTTTTATTACACTTACTACAGACATTACTTGCTTATCCTCATCATCTATTAAGTCTTGTAAACTCCAGCAAAGAACTTGAAAACAAATACAGCCTAATAGTCTACTCATAGTATATAACTAAGGAGTTGTTGCCATCTCAGTAGCACTATTTTGTGGATTTTGTGTCCCAGAGAGAGGGGGAAGCTGAGGTGTTGTGTAGCCGTTCCATTTCCATAGCTGTTAAACTCTTTCTAGCCAGGTTGATTCACCTGGGAGTAACAAAATGGATTTTCTCCTTTCATAGAAGAGCTGGAAGTAGATCTGAGTTTAATTCCATATGTGATCACACCAAGAAGGTTGAAAGACTTTTTTAAAAGTACATTCATTTAGTCATGTATCACTACCCCAGTGCTGTCTTTGTTTGCATTTCTCAGCACTGATCAATACTTTGTTGCCTGCTCTTTCATGATGAAGGCCTTGGACGATCAGGTAGTCCAAGAAGAACCAGGATTCCAAGATGAAGAGGTATGTTTTGGTGCACTGAAAAATAAGTGCAGCAAATGTTAGCCAAAGATATTTTTATAGTGTTATGAAATCACAGAGAGACAAGAGGTCCCCAAAGACCATCGGGGAGTTCAATGCGTTTAAAATGTTGTTATGATCCAATAAAAAATAATCTTATGCTCCTATTCTGTATATGGTCTTACTTTTCAAGTTTAAGTATTTTTCATTAACCTCTCAAAAGCTATGCACAGATTTCCTGGATTATTATTACTGCTTTATACTTTTCATTTTTATATTAAATGCAAGGAGACTATCAGTTACTTTTATACTTCCTGAAAATGAAGATAAGTTGCGGAGGAAAGAATAAAGAAGTAACTCATAACACAGATTTTATTACCATAGTAGAAGATTGCTTGGTGTTGAAGATATGTTTTATGAAGACGGTGATAGGAAATGTGTAGGCCTTCTTGGCTCACTGTGGTTTTGCTTATTTTAGTAGTTCAATAGACAATGTATCATTAGGGGAAAAAAATCATTTCAAGGCTTAAGAATTTTAAATGGACATGTTATGAAATAGAAGAAATTATAAGAAAAAGCAAAATTTGTTTTTCCTTTGTTTTCCTTTTTTTTTAGGAATCCTTTTTTCAAGATGTAGATTTGCTTCAAAAGCATGGAATTGTAAGTATAAGCAGTGCCATTTTCATATGCTTTGTCCATCCAAGGCTATTTTAAGGTTATTTTTAAAAACAGCCATTCATACAAATGATTGAAATTCCTCTCCGTAATAAATTCTAAATAAGCATCATTTGAGGACAGACTCTGTCTTTGACAGAGGACAAGTTTCAGAAAATCTTATTCCAATAAAATTCCTAAACAAAGTGGCAAGATATTCAAAGTATTTAGCACCCAACACTTCTTGAAAACCCAACGAAATGCTACTTCAGCTGAAAATTGTATGATAGATTACTTTCTGCTCCTGCCATTACTCCTGTATTTTGAATACTTGTGAAATTATATTGTGACATATATTCAAAATATTTTCAAAATGTGTGACATATTTTCAAAATGCTGCTGAAGAAGAGGGTAGAGTAAGAGCAAAAAAGGTACTAGGAGATAGAGAAATAAGCAGTTAGATTTCTTCTTCATTAGATACATTTTCCTGTAATTTTTATCATCATGATAATTGATCATTATCAGATAAATATCACTTATTGATTGGAATTGCTATTACTACATACTAATCCAGGAGACTGGCTCAACCCTATTATGCTCAGTATTATATAAACACTGAATTAAAAAGTTATCTTTGCCTGAAAATGCTTTAAAAATTAACTCTTTGATAAATGAACCGCAGAGGGATGGATCCACAGGGAGGACACAGACACAAAGAGGCAGCGTTAGGCAGCACGATAATCACTGGACGTAGCTTGTCAGCAGCCTAATTGTCAGCTTTTTATTGGGAATTCATTGAGGGTGAGTTTTAAAGAAAGCTTTGAAGGATCGTGGGAAAGCGAGCTCCAATCATGGGACAAGACAGCAAAACTACACGAATTCTTGTTTAAGAAAAGCAGACTGACTTTAAAAAAGGAGGCTGACTTTAGGAGTGGAAAGGTGGGAGCACAAGCCTGTTGGCACTGAATGAGACATAGTATGTACAGACTGGCACTAAGGTATGAAAGATCTTGAAAATAAAGATAGATTTGGGCTGTTCTTCACATTGCAGTTTTTGGAGACAGATCTAGTGTAAGAGCTTCTTGCTCCTTTTCCTTTTTTACCTTCCTTCCAAGTGGTCATTCCCATGCTCCATCAGAAGTTGTCTCAGCTGTGCCCATGAAACTGTATGTGACAATATGATGGTCCCTAGCTATTAAATTAACTGCTTAAAGAAGTAGTTTTTGTGGTTTTTTGTTTTATTTTTTGTTTGTTTCTGGGAGTAGAGAGAGAACTATTTAATGGATCCAACACTATGGCCACAAACAGAGGCAAATTAACACAACCAAGACTCTGGTCTGATGTCCAGAAGTTTTTGGTAGGACTTAAGGTGCTCCAACACCACAGCCTTTGCTAAGTGACCCCTCCTCTTCTGTCACATCTGCTTCGTGGCCACCCTGCAAACTGGATTATTAAATCAACTCATCCAAACTGTATCACAACGAAAAATGTTTTGTGTTTTTTGGTTTTAAATCCGCTCTCTTTTCCACTTCAGCAGTGTACAGCCGAGCCAAGTTGTGACATAAAGAGGCAGAGGATCAGGTCAAGCCACACGTGTAAGGGAGGATGAGCGTAAGGGGGAGCTCCCACCGTGTAACCTGCTTTTGTCTACTAGAATTATTTCCTTATTTTAACTGTGCTAATGCTGGGAAGCAGCTAGGTACTGTAGACAAAACAGAACATGCACAGTGGGCTCTGATGGGAATTCAGTCAGCGCGTAGTTTCACATGCTGGGCCTGAATTACGTTCTCTGCCAGTCACTGACTCCTTGCTGCATCTTCTGCAGGTGTTCTCACTGGCATATCAAGCAGTAAATCCTAGCATCTTCATAGGTAAATTAGCTAATTAGCTGTTGGTGGAGGTTGGATGTGAGTTGGACAGAGCTGGAAGTTTGTTAGTGGTGTTTACCACTCAGGGAATTGTAATGTGGAACAGCGTTTACGTTGGTGCCACCCAAAACAAAAAGCCAGGGAAGAAACACCAAAATTGGGTAAAGCTTTTAAAGTTGTGGTATAGAAAAATGATCTTCACAGCAGTAGTCTGTTGTCTTAATGGAAAAACACCAGGAACAATAAGGTCCATGCTTTTTATATGACTGGTTATTATATCCTTTCGGGTAGAAGTTATTTTTATTCATGACTGACTGTGCCTCACCCATCCTTATTCATATAATAATCAAAAAATATATCACAAGATGAGAAATAAGCTTCACAGTGAATGTGATTAATTTACCCTGTAGTCTCCCTCCATTCTTATGTCCTATGTACCCACACACTCTAGATAAGATGATACACCAAGTTCATATTTTTTTAAAGAAAGAACTTGGATGATGGTAAATCGAAGTATCACCCCCAAAGCTGGTATTTTTTTCTTGTGAATAATCTATTTTGCCTTGACGTTTTCAGTGATGTCAGAATCACCAAAAAAAAAAAAAGGTTCTCAGCAAAGTGTGTCACCGGCTCTGAAATCGTGATGTACCCACTACATGAAAAATTCCAGTAAATTTGTTCCATCTCAAAGTATACTTTGGATCTGGCAGGTTATGTGTATTTTAAATTGAACTGACTGTGAACATTTAGAAGCAACATAGTGGGTAGAGTGAGTTTTGGATGATCCATGACAGTCAGCTGCCAGCACTTTGTGAGAGCCAGTTTCCAGCTACCCCTGATCAGATTATCTGGTTTACAGATTATCTGTGCTATGGTACCAAGGACATCTTGGATTTGATAAGGTTTATGAGGTCGGGCTGCACACTTTGAAATAATCCATATTACTCCCTTACTACTAGCTTGGATCTAAAACGATACATGGAATAGAGACAAGGAGCCAAGACACTTTTCTCACAAAGGCATCAGGAAGTCTGTGATCCCCCATACCAATGTTACTCACTCACGCACTTACTCACTTTTTTTCTTTAATTTGGATGCTATTGTCTCCTCTTGCACTACATCACAGAGAATTTACTGTAAATCTGTTTCTTTCTTGGTTAAAATACAGGTGCATATGAATATATACTATAATGTCTTTCAAAAACTGACTTTGCTTTCCGGAGTACTCATAGAAGGGGCCTTTCTTCACAGAATGTAGCTGATATTAAAAAGCTGAAGTCAGTAGGGATCTGCACTATCAAAGGAATCCAGATGACAACAAGACGGGCACTGTGCAATGTGAAAGGGCTTTCAGAAGCCAAAGTGGACAAGATTAAAGAAGCAGCAAACAAGCTTATTGTAAGCAAATTGCTTTCTTGATAGTTTAAATGTTGGCTGCCCTCTCCAAAATAGTATCCAACATTTCTCTTAAAAGCATTTTCCTCCACATTATCAAGATAATTCTGAAAATGATTCTTCTTATTACTGTTTGTTACTGTATTTTATACTCTACAATAACCAGACAAATACTGTGATGCTTTTCATATCTAACCTGTGTAAATGAGACTTGGGTGGTCCAATACTTAGGAGGAATATCACATCACCTTCAGGTTAAAGCTCTCAAACAAACCTCTCATGCTCTTTGGTTTTCTAGGAACCAGGCTTTCTGACAGCTTTTGAGTACAGTGAAAAACGGAAGATGGTTTTTCATATTACTACTGGCAGCCAGGAATTTGAGTAAGTTTAGCCCTGCTTAAATATACCTTAATCCAAATTAATGATGCTAATGAGACACAAAAGGGCAAATAGTCAGATAGGACATGTAGATTTTAAAACCTTGTGTTTGGGGCCAGTGCTGGCTCAAAGTTCCCTGCATGAATAAGCAGCAAGACCAAGTTTCTGAGGACTTTATGCAGTGATTGTATGTTAAGAAAGTTTGCATCCAAATACTCT